CCTCTCGGCCATATTTAACTTTGTAATGTTTTGTATATGTGTGTCTGTGTATCTTGGTCATTGGCAGAAGAACTAAAGAGTTGCGGCATACAAGACATATTTGTTTTCTGCACCAGAGGGGAACTGTCAAAATACAGAGTCCCGAACCTTTTGGACTTCTACCAGCAGTCTGGAATTGTCACTCACCATCACCCTTTCCCAGACGGAGAGACACCCGACATAGCCAGCTGCTGCCAGGTGATGGAGGAGCTCGCCACCTGCCTCGGAAATAACCGGAAAACTCTCATCCAGTACGTTCCCCTCTCCTCGACCCACCATGTGGGAATCACCCCAGGCAAAATGGTTTCCTGAATTGTTTGTTTATTAACATCCTATTCTTGCTGCAAGGAGGCAAAGAACATCATGCATGGAAAGTACTAGCCCAGCGCCTAGCACTGAGGAAGCGCCCACGTAGTTATTAATGGTCCCTGCTTCTCAAGAACAGGACAATAAATAAGTAGAGTGGGAAATTTTTAGAATAAGGTTATAGGGGCTTTTTTTTTTTCTTCCTTTAGTGTTATGTTAGGCCTTTAATTGCAGTTTTATTCTTGTTGTATTACGTCTCACTTGTTGGCTAACATATGAATAGCTTATGGGTTTTTTTCTTTGATTGATTTTTTTTTTCGGTACCAGGAACCAAATTCAAGAGCTATCTCCCCAGCCCTGTATTTGCTTTCAATAGAAAAAAAAAGAAAAAAAGAAAAAAGAACAAATACATATATATTTTTTTTTTCCCAAAATGTACAGCAAAAAAATTACTTTTTTTTTTTTTCTTTGTTTTTTGCTGTACCAGGGATCAAACTCAGGACCTTGTGCTTGCCAGGCAGGTGCTTATACCACTGAGCTGTCTTCCCCAGCCCTAAAAAAATTATTCTTAAGCAATGAGCAATCTTAAAAAATATGACTTGAAAATTATACTTGATGTGAACATGCTACGGGAGTGAGATGGGATTCTCACTGCATAAGATGCCAATCAGAATTTTGTTTATAACAAAATAGCTTAAAGGTAAAAAAAATAGAAGTAGCCTGGAGCAAAGGCGGAAGAAAGTGACAGTAGGCAGAGGGTGTGTGCCCACCTCAGTCAGCCTCACCGATACAAGCATGAATGCTCTCGCCGTTCTAGAGGTGCAAGAGGCCCAGCAGGCTTGCAGCTCCTGCTTCGCCCACACGCCCACCAGGGACAGCTAGGACTAAAGCCCCCGCTTTAAGCCTCTGTGACCTGCCACTTCTGTGCACCCTTAGGAGACGAATGAAGGGTCATTGCGTGGACAGCATTTGTCCCAGAAGCAACAGATTTTTTCTAAAAGAGGAAAAGAAAGCAGGAGTTTGTAAAAAGCCTGCTTTCTGTCTATTTAGTAACATGCTGCCTTTCTCAGATGCAGATCTTGGACTTTAAGGTGCTGGCAGCCCAGACCTTTCCACGGGTTCAGTATAGTTTAAGTAAACAAGCACAGTTTGCGTTTAATTGACTAAATCAATGAAAAATTGGCACTGTGCTGAGCATAGGAGCTATAAATGGTGGGCAAAAAAAGGTCTTTATTTGTATCTTGGGATTGAATACAAATAAACAAATTTCAAAACTGTGTTTCCCTTTCAGCTGTTATGGAGGACTTGGGAGATCTTGTCTTGGTAAGAAGTACATTTTTATCGCTAATTATTTTTAACCTCAAAATAGCCAAATTCCTTTTTCTGGGCCCTGTGTTCACATTATATTAAAATGAGACAAAATACAGTAAGTTTCCAAGACTCAATGCATTTAAGGTTCCAAGCCTGGGTGTTTCCTAGAAAGCTGGGGTAGAGATGAAAGAGGGTATGTGGGTCTGTTTGGAGGACCCCCCCACATTCTCATGTACAAGTTTGAGCGCCTGCACCCTTATTTCCTAATGTTCTTCCTGTGTATGCATTGCACTTGGCTTAACTTCTAAATAGGCAACATATAAGAAAACAAAGTTAATTACTTATTGTATGTTCATTTTCTTTTTTAATTTAAATGTGCTGGGGAGGGGCCGGGGAGATGGCTCAGTAGAATAAGCGCTTGCCTGGCAAGCCCAAGTGTCTGAGTTCAATCCCCGGTTCCGCAAAAAAAAAATGTGCTGGGGAAAACAGAAATAGTTCACAAAAACTCTCACTAGAGTAGCATTTATTTCTTTTAGTGTTGAGCAGCATCAAAATGAAGAATCTTTTTGTTTCAAAGGTTACTATCAAAATTGGAGGCAACCCGTGGAATGGGAAAAGATATTTCCAAGCTATATTTGATATAAAAGCACAACTCAAATTAAAAATTGGGCAAAGGATCTAAGTAAACATTTCTCCCAAGGGCCGACCAAATAGCTCAGCGGATTGAAGTGCCTGCAAGCAGGTTCGATCCCTGGCCTGCCCCGTCAGCCCAGACATCAGGGCCGGCTGAGGCTGCGATTGAGACTGGGTGTGGAGGCGTGGGCCTGTAATCCCAGCACTTGGGAGGCTGTAAACAGGAGAAGCACTACGAGTCCGATCTAGTAGTGAGACCCTGAACACCCTGTAGACCCTTCCCCAAAAATACAGGAAAAAAAAAAATTTCTCCCAACAAAACACACAGTACCTGAAAAAGCTGCTCAGCATCATTATTCATCTGGGAACTACAAACCAGAGCCACAGCGGGAATCACTTGACACCCAACTAGGATGTTTAGGATTTAAAAGTAAAAGCGAGCAGTTACGTAAGCATCAGTGAGGCTGCTAGAAGGGCGTGATGGCGCCGCTGCCATGGGAAGTTGGTCTCTTCCTCAGAGCCAACCAGGTTACCACGTGAATGGCAGTTCCACTCCTAAGTGTGTACATGAAAGAAAGCAGGCAGTTCACACAAACACTTGGATGGGAGTGCGTTCACAGCAGCCAGTAGGCACATGTAGCCAGAGAGAGGAAACCCCCTGCGCACCCACCGATCAGGGAGCGGGTGGGCCCAGCATGACACAGCCACTCCACACAATGGAATGGTATCCAGCCATAAAAAGGAACGAACGCATACGTGCTACAGGATGAGCCTTGAACACGTAGAAGGCACCGAAGACCACAGATTCTCTGATCCCATTGATGGGAAAGAGCCACAGTACACAAATCTATAGACATCAAAAAGTACACCAGTGGTTACTTACAGCAGGGATTATTAGGGTCATGGGAGGGGGACAATAGTATAAGGCTTTCTTTTTGACATAAAATGTTCTAAAGTTGATTGTAGTGGTTATTACATGGCTGTGGATACGCTAAAACTGACTGCACTGTATACTTTAAATAAGTTGAAAAACAAAGTAAATGGATGAATTATATAGTGTATGAGTTGCTTCTATCTCAAAAGAAAAAAAAAAAAAAACCAGAATGAAGCGTGATAAATGCTCACAACCTCCCACTTGCTGGGCAGGAGCTGTGCTGCTGAGCTATATCCTCAGCCCTAGCATGTGAAGCTTTTAATGCTAATCCAGTCATTAATTGTATCTGTTACAAAGCACACCCTAACAGGTCCTAGTCTAATTCCTTTGGAATAGTTACACCACATTGAATCCTCAGCACCAGACAAGTCTAATTAAATGTCCAATGCCCTGCCGTCACTTGTGTTTTCTCTGTGTTCTCGTAGTAGCTGCTTGTCTCCTCCTATACCTGTCTGACACGGTCTCTCCGCAGCAAGCCATAGATACCCTGCGAGACGTAAGAGGCTCTGGGGCCATCCAGACCATTAAGGTAAGGCGTATGACCCGCCCTGTTGGCTGTAGCGAGGGGTACGCTGTTGCACACATGCGCAGTGTCGTCCCTCAACCAGAAAGGCACTCGGGTGCAAAGCGCGGAGCACGCCGCTGCTCAAGCACGCCTGCTGATTTCTGGTGACATTCAGCTTACACACCCTGTATCTGCAAAAGACCACAGTATTTTAAGCAAAAGAAAGAATTCCAACTTTCCACTTCACTCTTCTAAGACTTACTACTGCTCATTTCTTAAATAGATTGTTAATTTCTTAGATAGATTTTTGTGACTGTATCCCTGAAGCACAGAACAAAAATAGATTAAAGCAGTGCCGAATGTCTTTTGCTGTGGATAACGGTTCACCTTCCACAGTTACCTTCCCCCTTAACACTTGAAAAATACTGCAGTGCAGCGGGGAGGATCCTGCTTTGTATTAATCAGCATACCACAAAGACTATTTGTAGGCCTATAAATAAGATCTTGCTTTTTTCCCGTCAGCACCCTGTCTCAGCTTTAAGATGAGACCCTTGAGCAGTAGAATTCTCGACTCCTGACCGTTAGGCAGCTCTGTAGGCCTCACTCAGTACGTCTTTCCAAGGGCCAGCAGCCTCAGCCGCACAGTGGGTTACGGTAACTACTCATGAAGTCCCCTGTCAGGCTTATGTGAGGTCATTGACAAAACAGTTCACTGCGCCACACCTGATTATGTCCACATCAAAAGATGCTTCGAAGTCAGGAAGATCAGGTTTCCTTCTCTTTGACAAAAACCCACATACGTGGTCCAGCAGAAGCCCGAATAGGCCTGTGTGCTCCTTCCTTAATCCTGGAAAGATGAGGCCCAGGCGAGGCGGAGCGGCCGGCTCGACCCCCAGCCCCCAGGCCTCTGGGAAACAGGCTGCAGCCGCTGTCTGTACCACTGCAAGTCCCAGTGTCCCAAGAGCCGTTTGAAATGAGATGATTGGCAGAATGAAAATATCCTTTAGGAAAGTCTTTAAAACTCCAAGCAAAGTATTTAAAACTTTTTATTTGGCCTAAGATTATTTTTTAAGAAAATCATTCCCGATGGACCTCATCACGAAAAGCAGAGGAGAGCCTATACAAGAATTTTCCTGGCTGTCACTGTTAATCACAACACAAAGTGCTGCTGGCTTTATCTGTACTTATTCTGTAGAGGAAAATACTAGCAAAATGCCCTTATTTACTGTTTGCTGTCCTATTTGAACCTGCCCACAAGGAAAGAGATCCTTGTTTATAAAACATTCATCTGTATCTCGTTAGATTTTTATCTGTTTATTATCTTTTCTGCGTGTTTGTATGAAAGATAGGGTGTCGCTGTGCAGCTCAGGCTGGCCTTGAGCTCCCTTTGTAGCCCAGGCTAGTCTTGAACTTGCAACAATCCTCCTGCCTCGGCTTCCCCAGCACTGGGACTACAGACTTTCGTCACCATGCCTGGCCTTTTAGCAGTTTTTAAACCAATAGCTTTTCATACTGTCCAGTTTTTTGGGGTTTTTTTGTTTTTGTTTTTTACGGAACTGGGGATTGAACTCAGGCCCTTGTGCTTGCCAGGCAAGCGCTTATTCTACTGAGCCATCTCCCCAGCCCCTATCCACAGTTTTATTACCAAGTAAAACTTCCCCAAGTTGCAAATGCGTCGTTGCCCAAGATGTAGAATTGTTCTTAGCAAATATATTTTTGATTCCTGCTAGCTAGTGTTGTCTGCTCTAGAAACTAATCTTATACAATGTATTTCAGTGTATCTTTGCTTTTTTTCAGCAATATAATTATCTTCATGAGTTCCGGGAAAAACTAGATGCTTACCTTTCATCCAGAGAGTCGCTGTCAAGATCTGTGTCGAGATGAATTTCAAATCACATATATACAACCACATCTGAAATTTAGGAGCTCTCTGGCATAATTTGTACTGAAACAAAGCTACTAGCATTGTCAACTTGGATGTATAAGTGCAGATATTTTAAAGCTTTTATTGACAAAATTCTGTGTGTCTTCCATCTCAGGGCAGAGGGACAAAAATTAGTAGCACCTTCCTTTTAAAAATGCACTATTCTGGGTCAGGGAGATGGCTCAGTGGAATAAGTGCTTCCCTGGCAAGTGCAAGGGCCTGAGTTCAATCCCTGGTTTCGCAAAAAAAAGAAAAAAAAAAAAAAAATGCACTCTTCTGGTACACATAAACTAGATGTAATGCTAGGAAAAAACAGAAAAGCATTTGCATGTCCTAACCATTTGCACCACTTTTGCCTCTTGGGTTACCACTGGAAACTACAAGAAGCTTCTGTGAGTACTACCCACACTTACTTTGAAGTAACTTCCCCCCTCCCGAGATTCTCCCATTGCTTTTCAGTTTCCTGGACTTACAATATCATAAAGAACCCTGAATCTTTTCATCCCCCTCCCTCCCAGCAGGCCCCAGTGTTTCCCCAGCACCTGCCAGGACTTCTTCAGAACTAAGGAATTCACTGATCCACACAGCTGCCCCAGGCTTCTGACATTAACTTTGCTACCCTAAAACCCACAACGAATGAACCCAGCCCTTCTTTCACACTAATTTTATAAAGTATTTAGCTTCAGGTTAACTTCCGGTGCCCCTCCCACTCCTTTACCTCACCCTGAGCTACCCTGAGCAGTCCTTGTTCACTTTTGGGCTGTAAACACGAATCATGAGTCAAAGCCACCTTTGTGTAACAGCAGTGGCTTTACACACAGTCATCTCACAGCTCTCCTGGCCACTGGTGACCAACAGTCACCTGCCCCCTACCACCAGCCTGCAGGTCACAGGCACTTGCACAAGAGGCACCACATCAAAGATGACTTGTTTGTACTGCAGACCAAACTCTGGACCTTGCACTTACAAGGCAGGTGCTTATGCCACTGAGCTATCTCCCAGCAACTAAAAACTCCTACGATGACTAACTGCTGAACGCCTTGAATTTCATGTCAGAATGTTCCAAAACAGTTGCTAGTGCTGTCTGCAAACTTCAGACGAGCACCAGTATGTTCTGTGATATAAAATCTGTATTTTAACACTTTTGTGTACACTCTACTTCTACAATTTAAGATTGTATAAAAACACTAATGGAGGGCCAGCGAGATAACAGACTAAAGTGCCTGATGTGCCAAGTGTAGGAAATGGGGTTTGATCCCCAACACCACATGCTGCACCAGCCCCATCCCCAGGGCAGGCCGAGCAAGCCAGAGTCCAGGCGTGGTGGTGCACACCTGTAATCTCAGCGCTGGGGAGGCTGAAAACAAGAGGATCACTACGAGTCTGAGCTGCACAGTGAGACCCTGTAACAATCAAATACATTAATTAAAAAAAAAAAAAAAAACACTAAGGCAGATGGAGCCATCACATATCTGAGCAGAATTTAATGTTTAACCTAGGGGCTTTATCTCAGATGATAAATATCAAAAATTACAGCTAGACAGTTTTTCTTTTTAGAAGTATAAGGGCCAGGGAGATGGCTCAGTGGAATAAGTACTTCCCTGGCAAGCGCAAAGGCCTGAGTTCAATCCTTGGTTCCGCCAAAAAAAAGAAAAAAGTATAGCCTACAATAATTTATTGGCCTTCATGACTTTGGTACTACAACCAAATACAACTGAAAATCACATTCGTTAAACTCTACAGCAGTCACTAAAACTGCCATTAGCAAATCTCACACTAACTTGCTTCCAATACAAATACAGAGCATATCCATGAATACTTTGGGAGGAAAATATTGGTACAAATTAATCCTTTACTGATTGAATTTTCAAAGTGATGCCCCTTTCAATTCCCACTGCAAGGGCTAAGCCTTCTACATTGAAAATGCTCGACTAAACTATTTTAATACCAAGCAAACCAGACATCAATTATTCTAAGCCATGTGCATGTCATTACTGAAATGTAATTGCCCAATTAAGCTGAATTAACATGTGATCCCAATTTTCTAGAAGAAATCTTTGAAGTGTGCGATATCCCCCCCAGTGTGGCTAAGAAAGCCAACCAATGTGGAATATTGCTCATCAACACACATTCAATTATTACTCAGAAACTACACAAGGAAATATTTGAGACCGTTTTTATTAAATATACAAAAGCAAAATAAGCAAGCTCTAAGGAGTAAGGTAGCCTACTTCAAGGTATTTTCTTTGGACAGTGGTACAGCACCATCAAGCTTAGATTTTAACAAACCGAGAGCACAGGTACTAACTACATTCTATGTTTCTCTTAGTAGTTTTAGTGTTTACATAGTCATCAATCACTCTGCTCCAGAATACATAAATGTGACAACCAAAGAAATGCAAATACTGAGAAATAGCACTGTACAATCAACTTGATATGAGAAGCAATTCATTCTTTTGCATGTCAAAATGGTCTCTGTTCTACCACATGCATTAGTAAAATTAATGTGGAACAAACAAAGCCCTCCTCCAATCCTACCAGTCAGTCATCTTAAATGGGAAAACTATTTTCTACAATAAGCAGAACAAACAGCAGTTATTTACTTCTTTTAGACATTTTTACTTTTAGAGCTCTGAATTTCAGTCCAAGGAAAATTGTTATAAGAAAGCTAGCCAGCAAATTCAGAAATAGAACCATTCTGGAAATTTAGGGGCACCACCTCCTGAACTCCATTACTAGTACCAGCGACTTCCTAGCTGCTGGTGTGACTGCGGATCAATGACGGGACTGGTCAGTGGGCTTGAAATTGTTTTGAGACTAGTTTCCAACATGTGGGAACAGGAGTGCTTTTATGAACAATACTAGGCAAGATCACCGATCTTGGGGACAGGGGCTGAGGCAGGGTCTCACTCTGTAGTGCAGGCTAGCCTTGGACTCCCAGAGATCTTCCTCCTGCCTCAGCCTCCAGAGCTATCAATATTTTTCTTTCACTTCAAAATGAGCATCATTTTAGAATATTGTTATCAAAATTTTTAATTTACAATTATACGAATCCTGAAAGATGCACATTTGTGGATGTGACATACAATGGTCACCTTTTAGTACAGATCATGTGGGTTTATACAGCAGAGGGCTATACCTCCACACGTAGAATGCGAGCTCAGCTGGAGGGTGGAAAGACATTTAGAAGTCCTCAGCTGCTCTGTGACAATATTCTCTGACCCCTATGGAGGCAGTGTTAGATAAAGGAAAGCAGTCAGCCAGGCGGCAAGCACACTCGGGGTTGCTTCTCTTCTACGCAGTATCAGCCCTTGAAAGTCCACTGACTTGGGGAGCAAGGAGCCCCGGGTCAGCTCCTAGCATGTGTGACACACAAGCCAAGCAACACTGCGCAAACTTTCAGAAAGTTGTGAGCGACCAACTGCCAGGTACTGTGCTGCGTGGTGAGCGACCATAACTGGGGTACCTGACCCTGACAACTAGGCCTCAAGGTCATAGTTTAATAGGTGAACTTTCACAAATGCTTTAAAGATACACAAATATATGTCAAAAGTGGGTTACCTGGATACTTCCTAAACTTCCCTTTATGTTAAAACCAGACTTGAAACAAATTAGCAGTTTATCTGAACCTGAAGACCAAAGCTCCCTCCAACACGGAAGGGGGTGTCAAAGAAGCACTGAGACAACCATCAAGTGTCATCGATAACATTAACATACGGGTATTCAACAGTTTTTATGTCTACATTTATCTCCTCAGACCAGGACCTATATTACTCCATAGAGTGACTGCTAGACAGACTACATTTATTACACAATTACAGTTCAGGGGAATCTGTAGGATCCATAGCAAAGAAGAGTTGTGGGTACAGATACAACTAGAGCGTGATACTAGATGCGGGAACACAGGTACGAATGCTGGCGACTGCTTCTGAGGGCTGGAGAGCTCAGATGAAATGCGGCGGCACGTACATCAAAAGTAACGAACAAGGAAGCGCGTGCTTCCGCACAGCGGTCGCTGCACCGTGAGCGCCTACCTAAGCTGGGAAGGTTTAGAAACCCAGGTAGCTTCGTCTCAGCCAAACCTACAGCGCTAACAGAAGGTGAGGTCAGGGCCATCCCAAACAGGTTTGTGTGAAGAATGAATTAAATTCAGAGCAAAGAGAAGAGCCAGTAATATATAGTCAGATGCAAATATTTTGTTTCTGCTTTTTTCTGGCTAGTGGTCTAATTTCATAAAACACTGAAAAGCAAGAGTGGGTACAGAGTGAAAGCATCCGGGTTCTCAAATCCTCTGACCCCATCAAAGCCAGGAGTTGGCAGCCTACCAGTGCACTGGTGAACCCGCCGGGGATCACCGAGGAACCAAGGAATTGGCTAGAGATTAACTTCAGAAGCACGAGAATGTGGCTCCAAACCACTGAACTCTGAATTAATCCTGGAGAAAATTCTAGAAGAGATGAAAATGATGTGTGCTGACTTAAAACAGCCCACTAGCATTTGCTAATAGAGCGAGTGCTCATGAAAATCCCGACAGGATTAGGAAAACAACAGTCCCAGGAAACCTATCCTGGTTGCAGGTGAGACCAGGTCCCTCAGGACCAAGGAGGGAAATGCGAGTGGCTACAATTAGAAGAGATGGATGAGAACTGAGTGAACTCAAAAGCACGATCTTCATGCTAGCAGGCGCTTGGTGAACAGTTCACCGGACGATCTGAGAACACTCCGCTCACTCACCTCTCAACGGCAAGTCTCTCAAGCTCCTGTAGTGAACCGGCTTAACTCTCCTCCCTCTCCTGCTCCATTCTCTTCTTTAGTGCACTCACCCAGCCACCCACCCCAAAGCAAGAACAGCTACTCTCCTAAAGGTGAGGGAGTCCGATTTCAAAGCTTTTTCATTTTTCATTTGTAAATAAAATAACTGTTATTTTCAGGATAAGACTTCCACAAACACATCTGTGAATTCAGTTGGTCACATGGGAACTTTCATACACTGTCCCTCTTTGAGCCTTTGCCTAAGAAAGTTCTGAGCCACTCCCATCACTGCCAACGACCTTGACTCCTTCACTCCTCCTAAAGCAAAGCAGGCCTAGCACACATGCAAGCCCTAATGGGCCTGCTTCACGGACGAGTGGAAAGAATGCTCCAATTTGTACATCACTTTACCTTCAAACCAGCTGTAAAAGGAAAAAGAAATTTAAACATTTTACATGCCACTGTTTTTCTCAATTGGCAGGAGAAACAATGGTGCTGAGCCATCAACAGTTACCAATCTGCTCCAATGATCAAGGGTAAGGTGCTTGGTATTTAAAATTCCTGTTTACATCTGGGCATGATAAAACTGTAGTATGATAATTCCCTTAAAAAATAAAGCACACAGTACCATGTCTTTATTGGGGATTAGACACATGTGAGAAACAGCTACGTGTAATCTTTAAGCCAAGGCAAAATGCGTCTTAATTTCAGAGTTTTATTTTATTGCACTAAAGGAACAGTAATTTTCTCTCTCATTTAGTTTTGAAAATCTAAGGTATTTGCAATGTCTTAAGAATACTGTTTCCCACCAGATTGGAACAATAAGCATAATATAACCAGATTCTTAATAAGTAACATCTTACAAATAAAAACACATTTAAAATAGCTTTAAATGCATTCTTCACAAGTAAGTCAGTATATATTTTTATATCATGTCCACTTATGCTTAATTAAAGCAGGTATATTACTCTGATGGAAACAAGGGAAATCTCTCATTCATGCACTATACAGGAAGAATATTCAAGTCAAAGGGGGAAAATCCCACTTATTTTTGTAAATGTATCCAGATATACTCATCTACATGATAAATGAGGAAACTGTCAAGTTTCCTACGTGTCAGATACACATTTTCACTTCATCAGAAGCACCTGATTATCTACAGCTAATTTATAATAAGATGGCCTTTCAATAAACCAAAATGGGGCCAGAGATGTAGCTCAGGGGCGCAGCGCCTGCCTGGCAAGCGTGAAGGCCTGAGTTTGATTGCCGGCACCCCAGAAAAAAAAACCAAAATGAGCCGTACAGGTTCCTACCAACAAAAGCTTCCCGTGGACTAAGGACGGCCAGGAATTAGTGCGCTCATTCAAAGGACATGGCTGTTTCTGAAGGAGTGCACGTTCCGCCTGTTAACACCAGAGGTAATCATTTTATATTAATTTATACGTAATCCACTTAAATTCTTTATCCTAGTATAACATATGAAAAGTCTTTCCACAAGCAAAAAATGTGGAAACATTTAAAAAATAAAGAGTCATTTTTTTAAAGAAACTGATCAGATTCCATAGGCTACTCTTGGAAACAGGATCTTGCCGAATAGAATTCCTTCACACGGTGGCTTCTGCATGCACTTAACCGGACCAACTCTTCCATGTGTTGTTCTAAGAGCTCACCAAAACATAGATCATGCTGCAAAGAAGAGAGAAGCTGTTAGCGTAAACATTTCTCATCAGAGAAACGGGGGCTGCTTAACACAGCCAGCTGGTATGTGGTGCCACACACCCCAGGAAATACAGCCCAGCGACAAGTTCCCGCGGGGATTTTAATTTGCACTTACACACTTGTGCTAAACACACTGCTCGGCTCACGGCATGTGCTGTGGTTGTTCCCTATGTTCCTTCCAATTTCACCAAGTAGAACAGCAGGGCTGAAGCTTAACAGGGACCAGAGCGTGGCAAGCAACCCAAGACACCGCGGTGTGGAGCCACATTTAATAACAGGCAGGAGCGTCTCTGGCGCCGGGCTCGGTACACGAATCACCTCACTAAATCCTCAAGGGGTCCAAGGCAGGTGCTGAATCATTCCATGTTACAGAAAGCACCGGTCACTGGCTAGCAGCAACAGCAAAGCTCTAGAGCTACAAACTGCCGGCTGGGGCATGCACGCCACAGGTTTGCCACCACCAGCTTACGGCCTTTCTCCTGCTTTAGGGAAAGCTGAGAAGTGAACAGAAGGGCAGAGGGGCCAGGCACTGACGGGGCGCCTCAAGCTCAATGGCAACCCTTCACCGAGAGGGATGTGGGAAAGGCAGGGCAGGCTCGCAAGTGCCTCCGCGAAGGCAAGCCCAATGGCTCAGGAGAACCACTGGGCCTGCGCCTCGACATCCTGGTGAGCACTTCCCCAACTCCATCTCTAGCTTTCACTGTTCATTAAGCACTTCTCCTTTCTTTCTAAAATGTTTTAAGTACCCACTACTGCCAGCAGTGTTTCCGGCATTTATTATAGAAACTCAGAGTACACATTAAGAGGAAATTAAAATGGCACTGTGCGATCTCATGTTCAGAACCTGCCCACATCCACGCGTGGCTCAGACCTGAGCAATGTCTAGAGACGCGGCGGTCGGAGCCTCTAGTGCCCCAAACACCTCTGCCCTAAGTTCCAGCCTATTGTTCCTCTAGAATGGAAACACAGGTGATGCACGTGGGACAACTGCCCGCTGGGGCATAGTCTAGCCACCACCAGCTTACAGCCTTTCCCCCGCTTTAGGAAAGTCGAGGAAAGAATAGAAACACAAGGAGAGAAACAGAAAGGAGAGAAAATGGCAATGATTCCAACAATTTTCTCCTCTGCAGTCTTTTTCCTTTATTTTTGGAATGAGGACTGATCCCTCTGCACTGATCTATACCCCCAACACCACCCCCACCCCCAGAAAAAGTCACCCTAAGACAATCAATTGCTCAAGCTGGGCTCAAACGTGCAATCCCCTGCCTCAGCCTCCCA